AGCATAACACAATGTTACAATTGTAAAAAGTATGGTCATATTGCTACCAATTGTGGAAAGAAATTTTGTAATTATTGTAAACAATAAGGACACATTCTCAAAGAATGACCCATGCGTCCGTAAAATCAATGCTTTTCAAGCTGGCTTAAGTAATTTTACTTCAGTAAGTATCAACAATCAATTTGTTGCACCAGCTGTATCTATAAATCCTACAACAACCTCATGAACAGCTACACCAGCTGTAATTACTCTTAAAATGGTACAACAATGATTGTTTCAGCTTTTTTAGCCTTTTGTCTACATGGTAATGATACCAAATCTCAATTTTAACTTGTTGATTATTCTGCTTCAAATCACATGACCAACTCATCTCATATATTTAAAAATATTCATAATTATCATGGTTCATTAGAAATTGAGATTATTAATGAGAGTACTTTACAAATTACTACAATTAGGGATATTAATCAAGTTTTCAAAAATATTTTTATATCACTGAGGTTGTCTGGTAGTCTTATTTCGGTTCATCAATTGGTAGATAACAATTGTGATCGTTATTTTTCTCGTAATAGTTATCTTGTGCAAGATTAGGTGTCGGGGACAACAATTGTGAAGGGGCCTAACGTCGGGAGATTATTTCCTATTCATTTTTTCGTTCCTCGCGCCTTATCTTTTGCTTATACCACTATTAACAATAAAAGTGAAATATGACATAAAAGTTTACTGACATTCGAATTTTAATATTTTATCTCATTTGCTGAATTTTGGTTTGTTGGGTAATAAAAATTCTTTTATGGATATTTTTTTTATTATTCTACATGTAAATTAGATAAAAGTAAAGCACTTCTTTTTCTATCTATTGGTCTACAAGCTACAAAATATTTTGATTTTATTCATAGTGATGTTTGGGGCCCTACACCTGTTATTTCTCATGCTAAGTAATAATACTTTGTGATATTTATAGATGATTACAATCAGTTTACTTGGGTATATTTTCTTCGTACTAAATCTAAAGTGTTTTCTATTTTTAAGAGTATTTTTGCTTACATTGAGACTCAATTTTCTACGCTTATTAAAGTGTTAAGATCTGATTCTAGTGGAGAGTATATGTCTCATGATTTTCTTAATTTTTTATTTGAGAATGGAATTATTTCACAAAGATCATGTCCATATACACCACAGCAAAATAGGGTTGCTGAACGTAAGAATTGACATCTTTTAGATGTAACTCATACTTTGCTAATTGAGTCGTCTATTCCACTAAAATATTGGATTAAAGCTTTGTCCACAGCTGTTTATTTAATTAATAGACTGCCATATCAGGTGTTAAAACTTGACTCTCCTTACTATCGTCTTTATAGTAAATATCCTAGCTATCATAACTTAAATACATCCAGTTGTGTTTGTTTTATACATTTGCCTTGCCATAAACGTCATAAACTTTTAGCTCAATCTTTTAAATGTGCTTTTATGGGGTATAGTGCTTCACAAAAAGTTTTTATTTACTATGATCCTAGCTTTAACAAATTTCGTATCTCTAGGAATGTTGTTTTCTTTGAGAATTAATATATTTTTTTACCTATATGGAGTCATCTCTTGTTGGTATTTTTCTTCTTACCTTTGAGGACTCACAATCTTTTGAGTGTTTCAAACCTGGATGTGTCCATCAACGACGTCAACCGATTTTACTCCTTCCTAAAATTGCTCCGCCACCTAAGACTTCTCCTGAACCTGTCTCTAGTATTTCTTTCGCAACTATCCCTCCAAAGTCTATCATTCAACAATCTACCAGAGTATCTCATCCTCCTAATTGGTATGGTTATTCCTCTACTTTGTCCTCTATTTTTATTCCATCATGTTACTCACCAGCTGCCTAACATGAGTGTTGGCAGAAAGCAATGAAGGAAAAACTCCAAGTGCTCCAAGAGAATCATACTTAGGACATTGTATCTTGTCCTCCATCTGTTCGACCATTGGATGTAAATGAGTTTATTCAATTAAACTTCATTCGGATGGAACTCTAGATCGATATAAAGCTTGTTTAGTTGCTCTTGGGAATAAATAGGAGTATGGAGTGGACTATGAGGAAACTTTTGTGCCTGTAGCAAAAATGACAATTGTGCGAACTACTATTGCCATTGCTACTTCACAAGGCTTGCCACTTCACCGGATGGATGTAAAAAAATATTTTTCTCTATGGTGATCTCAAAGAAAATATCTATATGACACCTCCACTTGGTTTGTTTTCTAAACCTACATCAGATGTGTGTAAATTTAAAAAAGATCTTTTTATGGCCTAAAATAGGCTCCCAAAGCTTAGTTTGGCAAGTTTCGAACTACTTTGCTCTAATTCTCTTTCGTGCAAAGTAAATATGACTCATTTTTATTTCTTCAAAAAATAGTTATAGGTTATGTTCTTCTTCTTGTATATGTAGATGACATTGTTATCACAAGAACTGATTCTTTATTGATCACTAGTCTCCAACAACATCTTAAGGATTCTTTTTGTATGAAAGATCTTGTAGCTAATCTTCTGGTGTGTTCTTACATTAACACAAGTACACTCAAGATTTGATTGCTTTGGCTAGCCTTCACAATTTTTTTTAGTTGATAATCCTTTGGAATTGAATGTGGAATATCGTCGTGAGGAATGGGATCCTCTTCCTGATCCTACTTCATTTTGGCAATTAGGTGGAAACTTAAATTATCTTACTATTACACAACCAAATATTTCTTTTACCGTTCAATAAGTCAGTCAATTTATGCAAGCCCCACATCATCTACACTTGGCAGCTGTTTGTCACATCATTCGGTATCTTATAGGCTCATCTAGCCATGACTTATTATTTCTGACTAGTTCTCTAATTCGTCTCATTGCATTTAGTGATGCTGATTGGGCTAGATGTCCTTATACTCATCGTTCTGCCACTAGCTACTGTATGTTTCTTAGAGATTCCTTAATATCTTAGAAGAGTAAGAAACAAAATCGGGTTTCAAAATCTTCCCCTTAGTCTGAATATTGAGCCATGTTTGTAGCTTGCTTTGAGATTGTTTGGCTTCGTGGGCTACTTGCCAAACTTAGGTTTTCTCAATCCAATCTACTCCTCTCTATGCAGACAACATAAATGTTATTCAAATTATTACCAATCCTATTTTTATGAGCATACCAAACATATCGAAGTGGATTATCATTCAATATGAGAAGCTGTGGATACTTGTGTCATCTCTCTTTCACATGTTTCTAGTGCTCTCCAAATAGCTAGTGTGCTTACAAAATCCATGAGTAGGCAATGTCATCAATTTTTAGTTGACAAATTGATGTTTCTTGATCGACTAACATCAATTTGAGGGGGGATGTTAGTAAGGTGAAAAACTCATAAGAGAGTTAATATGGACAACTCATTAGAGAATTAATACTTTCCACGTATATTTATGAATGTAATAGTTGTACATATTTTTATAATTATGGTTTAAATATTCTATAATTGCACAATAAATTATTTTTACTTCTTAGAGTATTATTTTAGTTAGAAATAGCAGATTTTTAGGGATGTAAATCAAAATTATTTTTAGTTAATGAAAAGTCAATGAAGCAAAAATATTCGGACAAAAAAAGGGATAAAATGCAATAAACCAAAAAACAAGTTCTTTGAAAAAAATACAGACCGCTTTAGTTAACATAATGATCAAGGTGGTGACTCGTGACAAGCACAATTCTACACCAAGACGGTGGGATTGAGTGAAAATTAAATAATAAATGAGTTGATACCTCCCATGGGCTGAAAGTGGAAATTGTTAAGTCTAGCCTATTAAGAAGAAAAAGAAAAAAAAATGAAAAGATGCATAAATAATCAGGAGATAAAATTTCAGGTTTTTTAAAATTTTTTTAAGTGGAAAAGTTTGTTTACACTGTTACTCTTACTTATAAAAGAAGAGCAGTAAGGTGAAAAAACAGATCAAACAGAGGAGAAAAAAAATTCAAAAAGAGAGAGGCTGTGCAGAAAAGAAAAAGAGAGAGAAGAAAGATAGAGAAAAGGAAGAAAAAGAGAGATAAGATGGGGTAGATATATATATACATATATATATATATATATATATATTTAGAGGTTAGTGGTAGCCTAGAGAAAAGGAAAAGATGTTATCATTCTCTCTCATCAGTGATATCATCGCTGACATCATCTATTTCGTCTTTTTCCGAAAAAGTAATTTGATTTTATTTTATCTTTCTTAAGTGCTTAACAAAGAAGATGTTGTTTCTTTTTTTTTTTAATTTAATTCTTGATAGATTATCTTGTATTTATTTATGTTAATAGTGGATTTGATTCGGAGATTGATTTATAGTTTTTCGCTTTACACTGAAAGATTTTTCATATAAAATCGTGTATCTATTTAATTTTGCGATTATTATCTACTTATTATTTTTGTTCGGTTGTACATCAATTTAGTTTAGAATTTTAGTTATTAGTTTCAGCTAATTAATTTTAAATTGACTTAATTTATACAATTAATTTTATCTCTATTCATAACCTAACACCAATAGGTCTCAATAAAAAACTAAGAATATCTTGATTAAACCAAATGCTACATATCAAGGAAATAAGGAAACATACAGACTCAGCCAGCCAACCAATCCGCAGAAGCTACTCTCACACTTTAGTAATTACCATTTTTATGTTTATCTTATCAATTCATAGGAGTAGGAATTTGCTTTGATCATGTTCATAAAAGTAGGACAAATAATTTCAAGTTTTTGTATTTAAGGGAATGCAACCTATGAATAAGGCATTGAAATTTGATTCTTTAAAACTGGTTATTTTCTCACCTTAAGTAAAAAAACTATCACAACCAACATCCTAGCCTAATTGGGACCTATCACTGGGATAATGTTTTGTCTGATAGACATAAATGCTAACCTTTTGAAAGAAATTCCTTCTTATTATTCACAAACATGCCATAGTTTCCTTCTTTTCTTCTATAGCATGTTAATTGATTCCCTCTTAGCAAAGCATGGGCAATAGGGTGTCTAGTTCATTTTTTTTACACTGCTACAACTTGGAAGTTTGGCTTTGTTGGTCTTGTTTACTGTATGTAATCATGCTATGGCTTTAGAAATGACCATCTACAGTATTATTCTATTCACAAGCTCTTGAGACAGTAACTTAATGTCACTCCACGCCCTATGGTGCCTTCATTGTCCTTCTTATTGAAAGAAATTGTAGAATCCGTTTGAGACATGCCTAGGATCTAAATGTGCTTTTGAGAGAAGCAGACTCGAGGCTATGCAAAAGTGTTCCATGGTCTTGTATGTTTGAGTCTTATTATAGATTTTAGGTTTCGATACATTGATTGTGTTATTGTATGCATCTTGACATTGCATTTACTATGTATTGATTAAAGGCGCTCCTTATGGATGTCTTGATCAATAGACTGAACCCATTCTGGGATTCCTTTGCCCTACTTGATTACTCTGGTTAACATAAACCAGTTTATGTAGCTCTCTACATTCAACTTGTCCGTTTTCTATTTAAGAATGTGTTGCAATCTGCTTACGAATTGTTTGATGAGATGTCCCGAGGATGTGTTTGGACAACATTCTTGATTGGGTTATATTTTCTGTTTGTATTGATTGCACAAAACCACTTCCATTCTCATTTTGCCTTGTTGTTTGTGTCCGTTGCCAATTGATTTATGCGTGAAGTTTTTGTTTGAGGCCAAATATTTTCCTTTTATTCTTGCAAATGATGATGAACGAAATGTTCCCTGGGCATTATTTTGCAAAACACACTCTAAATCTTTTTCCTCCAGTGTTTGTGGGGCTGATTTGGTATAGTCTTCTAGTTGTCTGGGAGGTTAATTTTTTGCTTTTGAAGTGATATACATGAATGGAAACAGCAGGGTCTTGTAAGGATTGCATGATTTACTTTTGCTTCATATTTCTATGGACTAGTAATGTGGAAAATCTAAAGATATTTGCTTTGTTCTTCTATTCACCTTTTTCCTTTGAATGAATTGAAGGTCTCCACTCCTGAATAACTTGTATTAAATTTTGTCAATTTTCTAAATTCTTATATTATTGTCTCTTTCTGAATAACTTGTATTAAAATGTCAACATACACCTGTGGGCCAAGGAGAGCCATGGATACAGATAGGTCCAAACAGTTCATGGGCCCGCGGCCCATCTCTTTTTTCCCGCCAAACTCTCGTACCCCCTTTTTTTCCCGCGCCACTTCAGAGCTACAGATCTCAAATCCCTCAACATTTCAACTCTTGCTTTTATTTTTTACTGTTCAATCTTTGGAGGAATTACTTGTCTCAAAAGACTTATTCAAGGATTTCGCTATCTATATCGCATTATTAAGGTTAGTTTGTTCATGATCTCTACAAATTCCAACTGTTGGAAGTAAAAGTGGGTTTCAGAATTAATATTTTCAAACTTTCAGATTTAATATTTAAGTGTTACTTTAGCTTTTTCAGATTTTGGTTTCAGAGTTTATTTGCCCGATTATGCTCATAACACTTCGTCATTTCGATTCTGGTATTATTTTTGTTCGTATTCTTCCTTGAAGATATAATTGTCAACATCTGAAACGATGAATCTGTTGATACAGAGAATAGCTTCGGTGGTTACGACATGTGTAGAGAGGAAGTTCAGAGTGTAAGCGATGACATGCTGATTGATGGAAAATCAGATGGTGCTGAGAACAGACAAGCAAATTGTGTACTTAATGAATTCAATGCCGATTATCTCAAGGTGTACTATGGTGAGTGCTTCTATTTATTTGTGGATTCGTACAAATATATGTATAGAAGTAGATAAAAAATTCTTCACTTGTTATGAAGTACTTATGGTTATCTAAGCATAATTACTATATACAGTTTCTGAAATAAATTTTTTTTTCCTGATACCAGCTTATTAAGGATTTTGACATCTTTATATCCAGCGTCTAAGTTTCTTTCCATTAGGAAAATTGATTCCATGATGAGTCTTTGCCTAATTGTTTGATCATAGCCTTCTATCGTCATCATGTCTTCTGTTCTTTTATGGATTCATAATGGTTTTTAAACTTGGTGTTAAAAGTTTTTCTAATTCTTTTTCTGTTCTCTCTTGTTATTAGGATCTCTCTTGGAGAGGCTTTTCTGTTTTTTTTTTTTTTTCTCCTTGACGTGAATGAATATTTTGATTTGCTGCAGGAAAAATTTTTCCTTATGCCGAAATATTTAAATGGATGTCATATGGAAACGGTAATCTCTGTCTACCATATATGTGTTTAATTGCAAGTATGCACCCTCACTTGCCTGTAGTTTCATGTATGATTGTGTTTTGCTACTTGAGCTTTGTAGATGGGAAGCATCCTGCTTGTGACAAGTCCTACTTTGGCCGACGAGAATTTTCTTTTACACTGGAGAATGATATTTACTTGCGATTCCAGTCTTTCAATCGTGTATCTCAGCTGGAAAGTTCCATCAAAGAAAAATGTCCCTTCAAAATAGATATTGGACCTGTGTATAGTGTGGATGTAAGTTTTCAACCTTTTTCCTTACAACTAGACAATTAGGTAGTTTGCTTAAACTAGCATGTTGACACTAAACTACGTTATTATTTTTGCTGAAAGTCATATTGTTTCGAAAATTGGTAAATCATACTAAATATGTCATTGATCTTCTTTTTCCTTTGCTAACGAGTTGATCTGATTTGCAATCACTATTAGATTCGTGTTTAAATTTGGAATCCATTTTGGATTTAATACCTTCAAACATACCAGATCCACGAAATACTTTGTGTGTTGTGACACTTTTATGCAGAGCTTGCTGGTTTGAGGCCATGCAGATCTTGCCATACTTTTCTGTTGCCAGTGTCATGCACTTTATATTATTTTTCATAACTTTTATTCCTCTAACTATGCAGCCTGCTAAGAGGCATGCGTATGCTCAAAGTGGTGATAACGTATTTACTCCAGTAGAGAGGGAATTGGTTTTTGACATTGTAAGTGATAGCTCTTGATGCTAGATAATCATATCTTTAACTTTTAATTGTAGCTTCCTTGACTCATTAGTGTTGCATCTTTGACCAGGATATAAGTGACTATGATGATGTTAGATATTGTTGCTCTGGAGCTGAAGTTTGCTTGGCCTGTTGGCCTCTAATGACAGTTGCTATTAAAGTAATTGATACTGCTCTCCGAGGTAAGGGCAGCTAAAATTTGGGTCTTACTAAATAATATTTTTCTAAGAAAAAAGTTCAGACAACATATTAACAGAAGTTTGCCAAAGCTTTTGATGATGAAAATTAAAAGATGGCATTGTTAGCTAAATACATAGTACAGAACCAGAAATAAAAGCAGAGATGTAATATTTGAAAATAGTCTTTCTTATGGATTTTGCCATGTTTTTCACATTTTTTAATTAAAAAAAAGAAAAAGAAATTGCCATCTTCTTTTTATTTTATCAAATGGATCATAGAGGTGTCTCTATTACCATCATATGTGCAATGATATCAGATTACAGCATATCAGCAATAGTTGATATGAACTTTATGTCCTCATCTTGCCTGAGCTTTTACTTGCGTATGCCTGCATTAGCAACTTTTGTTCTATCGCGAACATATTTAGATGTTAGTGAAGCATACTTTTGTACTCGTATTCATTATGCACCATCTATGATGCAGATGACTTTGGTTTCAGTCACATTCTCTGGGTGTACAGTGGCCGACGAGGCGTCCACTGTTGGGTTTGTGATGGAAAAGCCAGAAGGTGATGCACTTTATAACTGAAAATAACTTTTTTTTATTTTATTGTGTCGTTGCACAAGTTCTAAAGGGTACTGCCATTAAATCTGTAGATTGACTAATGAACAAAGGGCTGCTATTGCTGACTATTTCCGTGTATACAAGGTGGTATATTTTTCTGCAACTGTTTAGTTATGAAAGATCCAGTTTTGCTTCCGAAATTTAGTAAAATTTCTGTTTTTATCTGTTTCAGGGAAATGAAAATAGTAACAAAAAAGTTTCTTTGACGGGTCCTGTCCTTCATCCTTTTCTTGTGTAAGTGCTACTACTTACTAGTGGTTGTATGATGCCAAGGCCATCATTTCCTGTACTAAGAGATTTTGTAGCTATGCAGGAGATCGTATAATGAAGTTCTTAAGGATTTCTTTGAGGCAAAGTTGCTTCAAAGTCAGAAGATATTTTCAACTGAGGAAAGATATGAAAAGATACTTGAAATGATTCCTGATGAAGGCATGCAAACATTTCTTCTTTTCTCTTCCTTGCTTACTCTGTTTCACATTTTATCAATGGGTTTTGACTATATATTTCTATCTATATAGCTGTTACATCTGAGCTTCGGGGGAGATGGCATGAGAATAGGAGATCCTCCATGTCAAAAGAAGATATCAACATTTTTCGATGGGAGCAACTAAAACATACACTACAATCAGGAAAACAGAAGGTATATGTGAAGCTTGATCTTCCTTACAGAAGAATAGTCCCAGGATAAACAGTAGAACTGATACTTGTGTTAGAAGCTTCTATTATTAATAGTTAAATACCATGACATCCCTTCAACAGGGTGTAAGCATTTCCTGTCCACGGTTCAATCTCCTTTCAGGGGTCTGATTTTGTTAGATTAGGAAAATCATGGGAAAGTAAAAACCTCTCTTAAACAATTTGAGAATAGTATACCACTTTGCGTTGGTGGTTTTTGTTTTAGAGCTGTCCGAAGCAAAGCTGTAAGTTCAATCACCAGATGAAGGACCTTACTCATCCGCATTTTAAAAGTAGGGGTTTGGTATGCAAGTGGTTTTTTGCTCTTGTTCAAAATCAAATTAACTGAATTTTTTTTTCAATTCAAGATTTTACAGAAGTTAACTGTGTAAACCAGTAACCACATTTAACATACTGGATTATTTAATGCAGCTGGGTGGTATATGTGGTTTTAGAGCGTAACAAATAAAGAAAGAGGAAAAAAATACTACACATAAGAAATCGACAAATATCAAACAAACAGAACTTTGTTTACCATATAACAATACCTTTTGGATTTCTTATAAATGGTCAGATAGACAAAGGAACAAAAAAGAAATAATAAAAAAATGAAGCCAAATACAATTCAGTTAATTTGGTCTGTTTGGTTATGAATTTTCAGAACCCAGCCCTACTGAACCGGATATAAAGTTTTTCCAGTTCAGTTAGATGATTTTAGTTAAAATTAATTGAGATGGCAGAACAGACAGGGTTGACATTTTTTCTTGGTCCAGTTTCACTTTTGGTCTTCTCGATTTTAATTAAAGAGGCTAACAACCTTATTCAGAATGATGGGAGAAGCAAGCATTTAGGCATGCCTTCTGGTCTTCACATTGTTTAAATTGATAATTGGTCCTGTACCTAGGAATCTGTTTCTTTGGCTTTGAAGCAAAATGTAATGGAATGAAGAATGGAGCATTTGCCAATTCGATATTTTATTACCTTTTACCACCTGTGCAGTTAATATGAATTAAATATATTTCTGTTTGATGTACAAGGTTGCTCAGGAATTTTGAATCCCCGCAATCTTTGAAACAGACTGTTTGGTGCTCCCAATTTTGATCTAAGAGGCTTTGAAATTCATTATTAGAACCATAATTTGCTTGATACTTTTTTGAGGTTCAAGTATTTCACATTTTTCTTTAGAAACTTATTCTTTTTACGTAATTTCTTTTCTCAGGCTCAAGGGCTGCGTAGGTGCGTTGAAGAGATAGTATTCTGTTTTACTTACCCTAGGCTAGATATGGAGGTCTGTTACTTCTTTGCTGATCCTCTGCTTTTCCTTCTCCAAAGTGTTTATTTTGTAAACATTCTGTGATGTCCCTCAACTACATGCTTCTCAGGGTTGTGCTTTGTTGCAAAAAAACAGCTATCGTATTTTCACAGAGCAGAAACTATTTATATGAAATATCTGTACTAACTTTATATCCTATTACATTAACATCTTAGGTGTCCAAACACATGAACCATTTGCTGAAGGCACCATTCTGTGTGCACCCAAAGACAGGTTGGTGAACATGAGATTTTGTTAATGTCAACTTGTATGTCCATGGATTTCAAAAACTGTGGTTGACAATGATACTTTATATGCAGTTGGATGTACAAAGAGCTTAATTTGTCTAGTGCAGGAACATTTTTGTATCCTGACAATATTACAATCTTAATACTCAGTTCTTGGTTTCAGGACGTGTTTGTGTTCCTATTGACCCAAACAACTGTGACGAATTTGATCCTTCAACAGTACCAACACTTGCCCAGGTAAGCATATGCTACTTGGATGACCTTCTCTTTCCTTCTCATCCTCACAACTACTGTTTGGTGCGAAGCGTTCACAACTGTAGTTATCTTCAAATTTTCTTCTTTTTTAAAATTTGCGTACTTTATTACTTTATAGGCCCCCGTTGTCCTGTCACTGCTGATTCATCTTTGAACAGTAGGTTTGTGTTCATTGTAGTTATCTCTAAGGATTTATGTGATGAGCTTTAAAGCAGATAAATCCCATAGTCATCACCAAATAACAGCCATTTTATCAATTTTTTATGACATTTCTACCATGTGCTGATAATTTGTTCAATAATTTGTTTATTTTAACAGATAAATTAGTTGAAGAACTGATTTGGAGAAAAATAAAAGGTCAAGGACTTGATTGTGGCAATTGAAATGTTAGAAACTAAATTGAAAAAGGAATTAAAGGTTAGAGACCATATTTGCAAATCAGCCATTGTATTAGTCACCATTTTAACAAACTTCCCATCCAATAAGATACTCATGATAACACCTTAGCATATCCTATGCAATTATTATGTTGTATCCAAATTGTCAGGCGGTTTATTTTATATACTTGCTCAAAATTTTAAACCTTTTCCTTAATAAATGAGGCTGGATGGTTAGGATTCATTTCTTAAGGTTTTCTATTAATCAAGGGCCAACCCACCAAGATGGTAGATTAAGAAGGTATTCAGGCTTGGGTTGTTTTTTTGGTTTAAAAAAAGCTTGTAAGCTCTACAACAATATTTTAAAATTTTTTATATGTTTGAGAACTACCAGAGCTTATAAGTTAGGCATCTTATAAGCTCTTGCAATAACATTTCTGTGATACTGTTTGGGATTAACTTTTATTTTAGATAGCTTATAAACTCTTTAGAAAAATGTTGGTACTAACCAAGTAATTGTTTCTATGCCCTCAAATAATTTTACAAATTCCAGTTTAAGTCTCAAATGTTTGAAGATAATAAAATTGTCTTTTCTTTATCATTTTAATGATATTTTTATTAAAAATAAATATAAATAAACTAATATAGTTTATAAACTTATGTTATCCAAATACTTTACTAGCTCGTTTTTTTTAAGAAAATTACCAGCTTATATGATATAAGAGCTTATAAGCTCCTATATTTTAAGTATACCAGACTCACTTTTAAGTGGAATAACATCATATTCTCTCCATAAGATGCTATGAATTTGAACTCTCATCTGATACAAGACCAATCTTTTAGTTACTCTTCAAAGGGAACATTTCTGCTTTTATGTCGAGAGCGTTGCAGTTACAAGCTTGCTTTTTGAACTTAGTTATGACTAACTAAATAATTCAGTTTAGAATTCTTATGGTCACATTCAAAAAGGGTTGACATGTTGGGTGCCCGTTTTTGGTCCAATTTGTGAATCATAGAAAATAGTCAAGGGCTGCGAGTGAAAAGTATTTTACACCCTAGCTTTAGATAGTCTCTTAATATTATCTGTATGCACTTCTATTAGTAATAATAGCAGAAATGAAAGAACTGAAAACCTGATTTCTTAGGTTCCAGCCTCAATTTATTAATTGTTTTAGCCTATTTTCTTTTTCTTCTCTTCTTTTTCTTTTTCTCTTTCTCATTCGAAACCACCTCATAGACCGTCTGCATATATAAGAAAAAAAAATAGGTTGATGAAGCATAAAATATGCTGAATGGTGACACTTTCTGTAAATTTTCTCGTATGCTATACATTGTTACTGGATTTTTTCTTTCCTTGCAGCTTCTAGAAGAACTTAACATGGGAGGTTTGAGAACAGATGCTGATAATGGTATGTTGTCAATACAGAAGTTGGCAATATGTTGCTTTTCTATTTTATGCTCTTTCGACAGTTGGAGCAATCTTTTTTTTCTTACAAATGTATGATTATTAAGATTTGATGGATTGATACTAGGGGGGATATATGCTAGCAATTCTGAATATCATAATTAGTTCTTGAAAATCTTTCAAATGTGTTTAGATGACAATGTGGTTGGTTTATTTTGTTTTTCATTATGTTGCTGGAGGTTCATATTCACTGCATATAAGCATGTAACATTCAGGTCTGTGTTGTTCTCCCTATCTCACTGATCTTAATTGCTTGATTGCAGAATCAGATGGAACCTCGCTGGGAAAGTCGCTCAGGTTTTTCAGGTCCTCATTCATGGAGCCTTTGCTAAAATCTTGTAAGGTGAGTCTTATCCTTGATGCATACTTGGATGGGCTACCAAGTATTTTACCTCCAAAATCGTCCTGGCATCTACTGCTGATTAGATTTTTGACTTTGAAGTAAACATTTCTGTGATATTTAATCAGTAAAGAAAATATCGTCCTAAAATCGTAGTCATCTGCAGTATAGAACGAAGTCAATTTAAAATTATGTTTTATTCAAGTCTTAATTTTGCTATGGTAACTTGATAAATTTCTCAGTGTTACTCAGGACTGATAACTCTAGAGAAGAAACAACATATTAACAACTAGTAAGAATACATCTTGTTTGCTTTTTCAACCACGCAATTCAAAATTGTTGCAGGAGGAGATAGAAAGTTCATATGCAAAACTGCAGAAGTCAAAGAATTCCTTGAGTTGGTAGTACCTTCAAAATCATTTAGTCCTTGTATATCTGTAGTTTCTGGAGTTGGATGCAACCTCATCTTGTGATTCTGTTGAGGTAGGTTCCTATCCATGAAGAAATACTTTTGATGTAAGTTAGATTGTAAGATGGAAGGATAAAAAACCTGTATCTGATACTTGATTAAGAATACGTATTTACATTTTGAAGCTATATTGTTCGATACAGAGATCTAAATTTAATAGTTTTAGGCATAAATAAACGGTCACCAAAATATGAAAAGTACAAAAAAAAAGATGGTTTCAAATTTGAATAGGATAAAGTAATGCATAACTGCTTTAATATTTTTGTGCTATTTAAATTTTATGTTTTATTTTAGTTTATTTAGATTTAGTTTTATGGTAGTGAAATAATAGGATAATTAATAAAATCATTGTAAAAAAATAAATATTAAATTATAAACATTTAACAAAGTTAAAACTAATATTTATTTAACAAGAATCCCTACTGTTTTGACCCAAAAAAAAATGTGTACCATCAATTTGACATTTTTTTTAAAATAATAATTTTGATGTCCGGTGGCTATTTTTGTAAAATCTTATTTGTTTCAGCTAGAATAACTTCGCTATTTTTTTTTTTTATTGAAGGCACAGCCCTTGTTGTAATTGGGTATACAAATCTTAGTCTTTGTTTTGACATTACAATATATGTGTGTGTGTGTGTGTGTATCTATGTCTGTGTCTGTCTCTTTCAGCCAAAGCTACTTGTGCAAAACTATTGGGATAGCTATCCTGCATGCAAATGTTGGGGTAACTATCTTGTTCTACAACTAAAGGCCGCCAAATATTTTATAACACTCCAAACTCAGGCACATTGAAGTAGTGTATATTTATGAAAAAAGTTTCATAAACATGTAAGCTTGAAACAAATTTCAACTGCCTCAAATATTAAATAATTAATGGTTCCTATAAATTCTTCGAAGTTTAAAGAATGAAATTTCTTAAATTTTAATGTTGGGTGCTTCCTC